GTAGGAATAGGATAGGCCGGTGATCTTCATGTTTCTTCTGTAGCTTTGTCAGGGCAAGATGCACAGCCAAGCAAGGATTTGAACCCAAGTGTGCCTAGTGGTGATGCTTTCTGTTTTACAGTTCATACTGATCAAAATATTCATTATGATTGGGAGTGGGCATGTGTGCTCGTGAAACCTGTTGGGGCGACAGTGTAACACCATTTGCACCATATCGTGGAGATGTGGTCCAGCGTCCTTCAGGAATTTAGCCATACATGGTCGGTCCATCTTTTATTAGGGATGGAGGACAAGTTTTGTTCTCATGGCAACAGTTGCCTTGAAGTTCATCATTTTACCATCTGGTGAGGTGTTCCAAGGGATTGACAGTAGAGTAGTTGGGAGAAACTACATGTTATATAGAGAGTTAAATTGGTAAACTTTGTTAAGAAAAGGAAACAAGAGTAAGGCTGAAGAGTAAGCGTTAGAAATAGGGGTTTAAGACAGCATGAAAACAAACAAAACACCCAAACCCTCTCATCTGCTGAGATTAGTGATAATGGTGGTTCTCAAAAGGCTGTGGCATGCCACGCCGGTGTGGCAGGAGAGGGTGGCATGCGTGGCAGGAAGATTCAAGGACAATCAAAGAAAAATTTAAATGTTTCAATGTAGTATAGATTGGTATTAAAAAAATATTTTTATTTGTAGAATATGGATAGGTATCTTTTCAAAATGAGAACAGGAACACAGGCTTTTCCACTACAGTTCTCCATGACATATTGTGGTGGACAGGGATTTTCAACTCTGACAAGTATGAAAGATCAGAAAAGAGAAGGGCTTCTTTGTGTTGGATAAGGAGATGAGAGTTTGTCTCAAACTAGACTTAATATAAACAAGATAACCCAGCGAAAGCAATCTCATACCTCTCATTGAATTTGTATACATACTTATGGTACATATGTTGTAAGAGGCACATTTATAATTATATTTTGGGAGTGAGTCATGTTCTTACATAGCTGCTTTGTTTTATACTTTCTAGATGTCCCATGATCATATTATAAATTAGTTGTGTTCCATGTTATAAATGAAGCGCTGCTAGTTGTTTCTTTTTGTTTTCCAATTTATTTTTATCAATAAAAAAATTGGTGTGGCACAAATTTTTATTCTGAAAGTGTGGCCCAGAGAAAAGTTTGAGAACCACTGTTCTAATAGGAAGGCTAGAGGGCATGGGCTGAATGGACATTTTACCTACTACTTACTGAGAATATAGTTTAATGAGCTTTCTGCTCTGGTCCCAAGTTCTTTTTTCAGAAGAATTGAGCATGAGTCTATAGACATACCATTATTCATTATTTGCTGTTTTATACTTTATAAAAGCTGAATCCCATCTATTATGGTGTTGCCCATGGTCTTCCTGTTTGGAGATATTCTGCTGAAATTTCAGTTTTCTTTGCCTACCTCAGTACTGGTAGCTAGTGAGCCATGCCTCTGGATTATTATTATTATTATTTTTATTTTGGGGGTGGGAACTAAAAACACTGGTCATCATTATAGGTGTGAGTGAAGGGTTGGAAAAAAACTGAGGGGAAACATTTTTCTCCAAAGCCGTCCCCCACCTCCAAATTAATAACCCCAAAGGATTATGAAATACTTTATTTTAGAAATATGAGCAGAATGTTTAAAAGAAGATGGAGCTAGGATACTTCAGTCAGTAGAGCATGAGATTCTTAATCTCAGGGTCATGGGACATAGTGGACAAAAGATTCCTACATTGGACTAGATGTCCCTCATGCTCCCTTCCAATTCTATAATTCTATGATTTAGCCCCCCAAAATGATTACTAAAACTGTATCAGGAAGACTTTTATGTAAGACTGTGTACAGATCATTACAATTTCTGCACACTGTGACAAACAATTCCTGAGCTGTGCAATGAGAGTAAAACTTGCAAATGCAAGAGCAAGATGCATTTCTGCTTCTAGGAAGGCACTGTCATTGAAACAAGAGGATTCAGTTCCTGCCATTGTGTCCTCTGATTGTTGGCATAGTTGGTGGATCTGTTTGTTCTCTTGACTAGGCCTCAAAGGACTGAGAGTGGGAGAAAGTGCAGAACACCATAATTTTGTTGCCACCCAGTTCATGCTGCTGCAAATCTGTCAGATCCAAGATTCAAAGGCAGAAATGTAAGTGATGATAGCACTGCTTCTGTATTTGAGTGGAATACAAAAGAAGCAGCAAGCGTTAGACTTGTTGTTGGAAAGGTATTTTCGAATGCTGCAGAGCACAGAACATCTTCAGGTAATTGCATTCTGCGATTCTACCAAGCATATACAGTGGTACCTCGCAAGACGAATGCCTCGCAAGACAAAAAACTCGCAAGACGAAAGGGTTTTTTGTTTTTTGAGCTGCTTCGCAAGACGATTTTCCCTATGGGCTTGCTTCGCAAGACGGAAACGTCTTGCAAGTTTGTTTCCTTTTTCTTAACACCGTTAATACAGTTGCGACTTGACTTGTGGTAGCCTTTTTTGAGGTTTTTAAAGACTTTGGTGATTTTTGAAGCTTTTCCAAAACTTTTCCGACACCGTGCTTCGCAAGACGAAAAAAATCGCAAGACGACAAAACTCGCGGAACGAATTAATTTCGTCTTGCGAGGCACCACTGTATTTCCTGCAACATGGTGACATGGCCTTTGCCCAGCACAGCCTGACTCCTCTTGCTTCTTACCTACTTCCGACCTATTGCTCAATCTTCTGCAGCGTGTGAAAAAAGTGGTCTTTTTTGGAAACCAATATTCCATCACGAAATTGATCTTAGAAACAATTGCTGTTCTAGCCTTAATTATTTGTCCATTGCATAAATAACCCGGGTGGCTTTTTGTTTTATTTTGCAGGAATCCAGTCAAATGCCAGAAAAGCCACAAACTGAAGCTGTTACATGCCCTGCACCATGGTGGACCAGTTGCTTTCTTCTGAATGTCACCTTTCTCAAGTTTCTCATCTGGCTTGTCTTACTGGGACTGTTTGTGGAACTAGAGTTTGGTTTGCCTTATTTTGTCCTGTCTATGTTTTACTGGATCTATGTAGGAACCCGCGGCCCTGGAGAAAGACAGACTGGAGAAAGAAGTGCCTATTCTGTCTTTAACCCAGGATGTGAAGCCATTGATGGAACACTTACAGCAGAACAGTTTGAGAGAGAACTACAGTATCGGCCCTTAGCCCAGAGGTAACTAGTGCCTATACCAGTATCACTAGGTCTCTCCCCTCTGCTTGAGCAAAATGGGAACTGTTTCCTGTGAGATTTTTCATCTTTAGAAATGTTTACAATATTGTAATTAAAGAGTTGAGCTGCAGTTACTGTTTCTTATACAATAAACAACTAAAGACAGGATATTAAACATCCATATTCAGCCTTCCCACCCCCCCAAAGGCTCCTTTTCTAGGCTATATGGTTCTCACCATTGAAGCTGTTATTTTCATAGACATCCCTTTCAAATGAAAGCAAAATATCTTGGCCAGCTTTATATTAAAAGATCCAGGAATGCATGTACAAATATGCATATATATTTAGACCAATGCCAAACATTAATATATACACCTATTCTTTTCCTTGGGGTTTCTCTCCTCACCTAAGTTGAATTTGGAGACCTCAACAGAACCAGCTGGAGGGGCAGGGGGACCTTACCTTTCATTGAGCAATAACCTCCAAGTCTGCTTATAACTTCTTTTAAAAATTTGATCCACTCCAGTATCAAAAGCAGAAGAGCCACATTTGTGGAAAGGATAATGTGACAGTAATATATACATTAGGTTTGTATTTCTACTGTATGTGTGTTTGATTAATGCTCATTGAACTGAAAATTTGGGTCTACACCCCACTTTTAGCAAAAGTCAGCTTGCACAAAAAGTTAAACTGTACTAACACCACCACATATGAACAAAACAGCTGCACTAAATTGGCAGGGGAAAAACAGCAGATATCATTTGCAGAAGTGGTAGAGCTATGTACCATCAGCATACAGATGACATCTCAGCTCAAACTTCCGCATTCCCAGTGCAGGAATTTAAGGCACTTGGCTGGAAGCAAGTGATATTGAACATTCATAGGATTGTGCTTCAAATCACCTCCTAATAGGTTAATAGTAAGGTGTGATTAATAAACTAACAAAATATGAGAATATGTTACAGAGGCTTGGAAAAGGCAAACAGATTTTACTGGTGTGTTGTATCGGGTGTTGCTTGCAGAAAGCCACATATTTTACTTTTTGAAAACAAGCAGGTTGACCAGTCTATCAGTTGAGGTACAGTGTGTTTTAAATGAATTTAGTGCCTTTTAGCAGACAATGTCTATAAACGCATAGCATACTGTTAAAATGGAATCCATCAGCATGGTTGGAGTGTTAACTCCTGTCCCTCAGAAGAGTAGCTCTGCTAATCTAATTCCCCGGGGACCCTGGATGTTGGATATGGATGAAGAGAAATTCCCCAGGCCAGATTACCTGTGTGCAGTTCTGCAGACAGACTCCCCACTCCCATACTTGGGGGTCATAGGATAGTGGTGCCATCTGAGTCAGTAGGTACTATTAAAGCCTATTTTCAACTCTTACTGAATTTATTACATTTCACTGTTCGAGTGTGTTTGTGTTTACAATGTCAGGCACCTGATTTGATTCCATAAAGATCAGCATTATCTTGTATTAGGTATACAAGAGATGCTAGGTGTGCAAATTTTACTTTTTTCGGTTGCTTGCTTTTTGAAGGATTTATTCAATTCATTCATTGGTATGTGTGGATTCAAGGCCTGATATTTTAAAAATGCATGAAGGAAAAAAAACCTGAATTGATTCTGCTCAAGTAGATGTAAAGTAAACTGAGATACAAATAAATTTATGTCTGACACATCTTGGAAACCATGAGGAGAGAATTACACAGTTAACATCAATTGCAGCAAACCTTTATATGGTAAATTACATTGCTTTTGCAAGACAAGAATGAATTCGCACGTGCACAAAGGAACATACCGTAATTCATAATTTGTTATCCATTTTTATAACATTAAAAAATAAATACATGCAATTATTTTTTTTAAAAAAAGGATCAAAACAGTAAGGATAGAAATATGACATTCACTCATTTTTAATGCTTAATATATATATATTCACCATTTTGGTACATTTGCAATACGTGCCTCCACTTAGGTGCCTCACAAGTTGTATTAATTTAACAAGACTTGTGTGCATAACTCTGGAATGAAACTTAAGTAGAATCACAGTGAGTGAGCAGGTTGCTGGTGCGTCTTGGGTTGCTCAAACTGTTTTTTGAGCCCCGTATGAAGAGCAGTCTTAAAGCATACTATGAATTCCAAAGCAAAGGCAGCTTGAACATTGAGGCTCATGCACATCTCCTCTATTCATCGGTACTAGTTTTATTGGGAACATTATAAAGAGGCTGCTGGTAACGAGAGGGCATTTCTTGTTTCCCAAGGCTGCTTCCACCAGCCCACAGACATTGCTGAAGAGAGGTCTTGAATGCTCTTTTCTGCATCTGCTATCTTCTCCCAAGACTAAACAAGCCTTTAAAGGAGTTGCATATACTGCATCCATCATCACTTTACTAGGAACACATTCCAGAAATGAAAAATAGCTGGCTGAAAGAGGAATAGCAATACAATAGAACAAACAAATTTAACAACACCAACGCTACATAATCAATAGGAAGAGAGGATTGTGTATGGGTGGTTTTTTTGGCAGCAATTGTTTCCTTGGTTAGAGTAAACTGGAAAATATCTTGCCAGTTGCAAAAGGGCTCTTTGAGATTTGCGTGGGCTCTACCCATCTCCTTCCATGGTCAGAATGCTCCTGTAATTCTGCTCCTTGAAAGCCCCATTGAACCAAGCTCTGCCAGTATGGTTTCCATAACCTGCCAAGATGGGCCTGGGGCAAGACCAAAATAAGGTGGGGGCCCATGTTTAATTGAATTTTGTTTTGTTTTATTTAAAAAGGTCTTCAAAAGAGGAGAGGTTAAAAATCAAGGGAAACACAAAGTGATTTTAAGAACAAGGGAACAGTTAGTGAAAGTTTTTAAAAGCCATGAATTTAAACGGCTGCCTAGCCTAGAATTTTGGCGAAAATGAAAGATAAATAAGTGAAGGCTCAATTTACACACCAAGACAAAATATACTAAAATTTAGAAAATGTCTCTTGGGACACATCATTCAATAACCTTGCCTACTGCCTTTTTTCTTGCTGTTTGGTGAAGCGTGTGACATTGTTTCCCATATGACAAGATCTATTATGCTACAGGAATTCAAATGTTGACTAAAGGGCAAATTAAACATGGTGGAGCATGTCACTCATGTGTCTGCTCTCCTCTCATATAACACTGAGCTTGTCTCCCTTCCACATGCTCCCCCTTCCTTTGTGTAAATCGGGTGGGGACCTCAGCCAGTGGGGTGAGATGCAACCTTCCAGGACTCTAGTTGGCCCTGGGAACTCTACAGGCGTGGCTTAGACACTGCTAATCTTCTGAAGTCCCATTTTCAAAACTATCTCTAGTAATAACTGCACAATAAGCATTCACAGATCTCAACCATGCTTGCCTGTAAATAGACATCTGTAGCACAACTATTTCCCACCAATGGGGATTGTGTTGGAGTAAATTGTGAAAAGTATAATGGGGGAAAGCTTGCAGTTGTCAGCTTTTAAAACCAGGAAAGTGGCTTGAAGGAGGCCAGTGGAGACAGTCTATATGACCGGCTCTATAGACAATTTTAAACTTGTGGCAGCTACAGTTGCTGTGTCTGATGTGTAGGATTTCTGTCAAAGCCAGCCGATTCAACTCCTTAAAAGGGTTTGGTATTCCAGATCACTGAGCAGCCCACATCACTGAATTATGCTAGCAAACCTACTTGAGTCCAGTGGATTTTGGTAGCCTCGGGTTCTCAAGAAACTAATACGTTGTAGCTCACATCTGGCATGGACAGAATCCTAATATGCTAGTGTAACAGTATAAAAACATCACTCCAGCAAAGGTGGCGTGTCCAGCATGGCTTAGAGCAGGGGCAGCCAATGTGCTGCTCTTAGAAGTTGTTGGGCTACAATTGCATTTCCCCCCGACCATTTGTATGCTGGCTGAGGCTGCCGGAAGGTGCAGTCCACATCATCTGGAAGCTACCACATTGACTGCCCTGGATTACCACGTTGCTGAAGGTTTCTTTACTGTTAGGTGCACACAGTATATACAGATGCAGCTTGCCAGGCCCAATTATGGTATCACAGTACACAGCCATAGAGATTTCTATGCATGCTCTACACAACACAGGGACAGTCTCCTGGGCCCACAGCAGAACCTTTCAGATTCTGGTAAATCCAAGGTCCAGTCCAGAATGGCCACAATAGTATGCAATATGTTTTTAGAGGAGATGACAAGTTTCAAATGTACTTCAACTCAGTGCTGCAGCGCACACCATTACTACCAATACGGTAATTCATATATGATGATCTCTGAAACCAGAGTTTCTCTGTATGCAATCAAACGTTCTAGGAATGACTGGCAACTTGAATTGGCTTTACTGAAAAGGCAAATTGGATTTATATATTTTTAATTCATTCCTGCTGAGCAGCCTACATAATTTTTAAGATTCTAAAGGCTTATTGACAAGCAAGAAATCCGGCTGGCTGTAGCATAGAAGAGTGAGCTGGCCAAAGTGCTGAAAATATAGCTCCTGAATCAGCTTGTTTTTGTTTTCAACATCTAGCATAAAAGAGCCCTGTAGCTATAAGACACTTGAAAAGGAAAGAAAAAAAGCAAGGCATAGAAAAACCTATGCTAAAGTTAAGGACTCCTGTGAACAAATGATTAAAGTTCTAAAATACTAAATTCTACATTTGTGTCTCCATAGATGTTATAAAGGGTATTATTTTCTCCATGTTCCTGTTTATCCGCTTCTATACCTACAGGGGGCAGAGAATAATACGTTGTTCCCTGTCAAATACTCAATTCCAGAAAGCCACTAATTACTTTGGTTCATAGTAATATTTGTGCAGCCTTCTGAAGCAGTAAAGGGCTATGAGAGTGGTAAGACTGGGCATTTAAAAACACACACTAACAGCAGAAAGGGTGTGCATTCATCACATGGAAAAGAACCATCATCTGCACATAGATTTAAGTTTCTCCGAGAGAGAAATTACTCTTTAACATGTTTGGGAGCATGCAACCAAAGGCAACATCAAATATCCAGTATTCATATACTTCAATCATGGACGTACCAGCAAAAATTGATCTGAATGGCACAAGAACAATTCAAGCCTTTTCAAATGATGAAATAGTAGGTGGATCCAGTCACCAGTACTATATGCTGTCCCCATGCAGTGGATGAGTAGAATAGTCCTGCTGGGGTCAGTAGAGGATTGCTCTGCCACATAGAAATTGCCTGTTTATCAGGTTTACTATGCTGCTGTTTTTTTACAAAAATGAGGGATAGAATCCAATGCTGCAGAGAAGAAATGTACAGCATGCACTATTTTTTTAGAAAGAGGTATGTGAAAGCATAAGGGTGTAAAATGGTTATTTGTTAAATAATCTTTCCCATTTTTAATTGTACACATTACCATAAAACAGAGAACACCTCATGCAACAAAAAGTAAACTACTACTTACTGTGCCATAGGAGTGAAGAGATGGATAACTGTTCTTTGCAAGTCACTGGCACTGGCCATTAGGTGTCCACGACACCACATGTGACATTCAAAACTGCAGTGAATATACTATTCTTGCAGTGTGATTAGAGGGGGGCACAAAAGTCCCATTTATGGAAATGCCTGGAACACACAAGTCAAATGACTGCATATTGGGTGTTTAAGAAAGCTACCACTTGGAAAGGCTTGAAATGCTTCTACAGATTATGGTGACTGTTTCTTTGTAACCATGCAAAAGTTTAATCTCCCCTTTTTCCCAATGGGAGTTTTTTCTTGTTTGTAATGATCAGCTGCATCCTTGTAATTTAATCAGTAAAGCTGTCAACCTGTCTACCCACGCTAATAAATGATTACCTTTACGCTTTGTGACAGCATCAACACAGTGTTTATAGGCTTTGGGCACCTGGAGGCCTCTGATATTGAGAAGAAATGCTTTAAGCTTACTTTAAAGAGCATGTTCTCCCCTCAAATGTATTGATTATATTAGGTGGCTGCTTTATTTTGAAAGCTTGTCCAGCTGCCTGCAGCCATGAACGAGGGAGGTTCAAGTCTTCCAAAGGCCTCATGCAATCTGGCTGGCTGGATATGCAAGGGGATTCGATTGTACCTCCTACAGTTCATGTCAGCTGGTCAGACTCCTCTGCACTAGCCTCCACAGAAATCTTAGCTGAATGTAGCCTGGAAAGTGGCAGCATAGACTGTGCTCCCCAGGGTACCTCCGCTGCTTATACTGTTGGCTGGGTACTTGAGAGGCTTCATGTTGCTGTCTCTGCGGACATAAAAGTGCTCTAGTCGCCAGCGCTCCCAGCTTTTCTGAAATTCTGTCCGAACCTTGCATAAGGAAACAAAAAGGCATGAGAGAGAGAAAGGGGAATAATCCAGTTTTGAGCCACTTCTATTGTAGCACTAAGAAAAGATGAAATATCCCATATAATTAAACACTGGCAAGGTTCTAAAGCCGCCCTTGTTATTGTTTCAGATAATTTCTGTAATTACTTAATCAGTCCTTCATAGGTAGTTTCATAACCAAAATAATAGCAGCACTCTCTCCTTATTCTATAAATAGATGTATGTGCAACAGTTGGGAACAGTATGCCTTAACTGAACTCCTTGCAACAACCCATTGATCTAAAGTTAAGAGGGCACATGGTTCAAACAAGTCTGAATTTCCTGCTTCAACGCCATTTTGAGAATCCAAGATACTCACTGTGACTGTCAACAAGTGTATTTCTGCATACAGATAGAGCTAAAGACCACAATTTATAGAATGTTAATTCAACAGTTGTAAAATCTTGAATAAGACTGAAATTCTAGGCATGCATAGGCTGCAATCCTACCCTGTTGAACCACACTGACATACTTCTGAATAGACATGGCTAGGATTGTGCTGTTACTTGGGAGTGCCCTTGAAGTGAGAGGGGCTTACTGCTGGGTAAAGATGCATAGGACTGGACTGAGGGGGGAATCACCTGGCAAATGCTGTTATGAGATCCATAGCAGCAAAAAAGGGGAGGATTGGAGGGCTAAGAATAAACACACACACACACACACACACACAAAATGTACCGTATTTTTCGCTCTATAACACGCACCTGACCATAACACGCACATCGTTTTTAGAGGAGGAAAACAAGGGAAAAAACATTCTGAATGAAACAGTGGATGTATCATTTTTGTGCTTCATGCTGTGGCCACAGACATGTGATCTGATGGTGAATTTGGGGTGACCCAATGCAAAAATCCTGAGAATTCCTGTGGATCCATGCTTTGTAACCACGTTTTTGCACCATTGCAGCCCCAGGCAACAGTGGGTGCGTGATTTTTTGGGTGCAGGCTGTAGCCATGGACATGCTATGTGATCTGATGGTGAATTTGGGGTGACCCAATGCAAAGATCCTGAGAATCCCTGTGGATCCATGCTTTGTAACCACATTTTTACACCATTGCAGCCCCAGGCAACAGTGGGTGCGTGATTTTTTGGGTGCAGGCTGTAGCCATGGACATGCTATGTGATCTGATGGTGAATTTGGGGTGACCCAATGCAAAGATCCTGAGGATCCATGTGGATCCATGCTTTTTAACCACGTTTTGCACCATTGCAGCCCCAGGCAACAATGGGTGCGTGATTTGGGGGGGGCAGGCTGTAGCCATGGACATGCTATGTGATCTGATGGTGAATTTGGGGTGACCCAATGCAAAGATCCTGAGGATCCATGTTGATCTATGCTTTGTAACCACATTTTAAGTGGGGAGCGAAGGAAAAACAAAGAAGGGACATGAGAGGGGTGTGCAGAGAAGCAGCTGGCTAAGAATGCTGGAGAGGGATTTAACGGGTGGGAGGAAAGAAAGGCAAAAGTTCCCCCCCAAGCCAGCCATCTCTCTCTCTCTCTCTCTCTCTCTCTCCCTCCCTCCCTCCCTCCCTCCCTCCCTCCCTCCCCCCCTTTCTCTCCCCCCTCTCTCTCCCTCTCCCTCCCCCCCTCTCCCTCTCCCTCCCCCACTCTCTCTCCCTCTCCCCCAGCAGCACCGGAGCACAGAGAGGAATTAGAAAGAACGACACTCTGCTTGCCTGGAGGGGAGGGGCTTTCCCTGCTCTTTGTTCCGTTTCAGCAATCACAGCAACGAAACAGAGGAGGGTGGGCAGTAAGACCCTGAGGCAGAATGCAGGAAAGCAGATTTGACTTTTGCTTGATTTTTTGGCTCCAGGGACCACACATTCGCTCTATAACACACAGACATTTCCCCTTCCTTTTTAGGAGAAAAAATCTGCGTGTTATAGAGGGAAAAATACGGTAAGTGAAAGGAGAGTATTTTAATAACTATGGTTGGGTGTGGATACAAATTGGGAAAGCCGCAAAAGTAGGTTCACCCCATCTCGTTTTCTCATTTCCTAAAAAATTTTAATGGGGGAAAGTAGCGTTTAAATCCAATTGTTACTGCAAGACCAAGTCTAGTGACGTGTGAAAGAAACTTAGGACATAAGCAGGCAGCAAAGTTGGTACAACATGGTCAACTCTATTAGAGATTTCTGTTCTTAGGCTATTGGTAAGGGGGAAATAGCATTTGTATAAAGCAAATTATTATTTTTTAAAGCTATTAGAGATCCAGTTCTGTAGCATTCCCCCACCCCCCACCCCATAATGTTCGTAGTTTGGTTGTCATGGCCACAAATAAGCCTGTAAGCTTGGACAAGGATGTCGATGATGTACTACTCTCTGGTTTCTCCCCCAGCCCCCAGGAACTTCCTTGGCTGCCCCATAAGCCACTTTCTCAAGTACCTATGAACTGAAAGCTCCAAAACTGTACTGATTAAGGACAGCTCACCACTAGGCCTTATAGTACTTATCTTAAACTAGAACTACAGATCCAAATGCAATGCAATAGAATCATAGAGCTGGAAGGGACTATGAGGGTCATCTAATTCAACTGCCTGCAATGCAGGAATCTTTTGCCCAACGTGGTGCCCAAACCAATGACCCCGAGGTGAAGAGTCTCATGCTCTACCAACTGAGTAACTTTAGGTTCCATCTTTGAACATGGATCTGCACTAATCATCTGTTAAGCAAAATATGTGGGGTCCAGTTACAAGAGTAAAAAGGGTGCTGATTTAAATAGTTAATTTTTTATTCAGAGCTGCACAATGTGTACACTAGGATTTGATCCATCACGGTAGCAGCAAAATTAGAAACTGCAGCAAAAGCCACTTATCACATCAGCTAGAATTAGCTTTTTGCACAAAAATAGAGGATACTTAATAAGGAAATACTATGTCCCTCTTGTAAGTGGATAATTGTGCAAGCATAAGCCAGCTAATTCATCTCAGTAGCTCTTGTACTGTAGATACTACTGTTAAGGGAGGGGGGGGAATCCATTATGAGGTCTCTTACTGTTTATGATCTTTTTCAAAGGCTAGTCATATTAGCCTGTTGCAGAAAGCAACTGCAAAGAATCCTGTGGCACATATTAAAGCAGGTGGTCCAGATCTTAATCTCCGCATCCCTGGTGGGCCAAATCTGACAGGAAGTTTCCGAGACCCCCTTTCTGTAAAAGTTCAGGCACAGGGATCTGGCGCCCACTGCGAAGACATGCAAGTTCTATAACACTGCCTTGAAGATATCTCTCTGTTCTGATCAAAATTTCACACAAAATAGAGAAACCAACCCAGATTATCGCCTACTAGGGCTGGGCGATATGTGCCACAGGATAATATGTGCCACAGGATTCTTTGCTGTTTTCAGCATCGTGATACCAGCTAAACATCGTGATATGCCAATATATCATGATGTCTAAAATAAGGATGGAACTATGTAGATGCAAACCGAGTAATGTCCTGGCAACTGCTATTACTTAGGGGTCTAAAACTGATAAATTTTTACTTATCTTTAACATATTGTTACAACTGTTATTTTATAGTTCAGCTAATTTTTAAATTAGTGTGTTTTCTCTAAAATAGGGAGGGAAACTATATAAGGGGAACCAAACACAAAAACACTAGGGGAAAAACCCTTCCTCTTTTTTCCCACTGGTGAGGGTGGGTGGGAAGGGAACAAAGAAAAAGAAAGCAGCCAGGAAGTATAGGGTTGTGGGAAGAAATGTGTGTGAGAAAGCAAAGGGTGAGGGGAGAATTGGCGGGGAATTCAAGGCTGAGGAGGAGAAAATTGGGAATGTAATGAGGGGGGAGACAGATCTACACACAGAGAGGGAAGAGAAGGGGGAGGAGGCTTATAAAATGGTGACCAAACTATTCAAGCTTTTAAGCTTTCAGAGTCCTTGTTTTCATTCAAGTAACGTAATCCTTTTAAATTTTATTCTGGCAGGGTCAACAAAATCCAACTTGGCAACAAGATAATAAGGCTGTACAACAAAAATTCCTCCAATCCCGATACACATTTCAAGTTAACAAGCAAAGGGATGTCTTCATACAGGTCTTCAACTACAACCCTCAACATATCAGGGCTTTATTATAACTTACCACTTTATTTACTCAAAAATTAATACAATGACCTTCTAATTCTCCATACTGCTACTTTGATATATTCATAGAGAACGCTATCTGAATGCTTTAGTTTTCTGTCAACTAAATTACGGTACTTGAAAACATTCTTTTCTCTCTCTCTTTTTGTATGGAAGGTAATACTGCAAAATACATGCCTCTTACCTCACTGTTGTTAAAACAGTAGAGAATTGCAACCAGAAGACCCTGGGGGGGAAATCAGTACAACAACAAATATTGGTTAGATAATTCATACTCATTCTTGCATTAAACTTCATTAGCCAAACTAGGAGAGGAAACTATATCTAATCCTACTACAAGTACATCTTGAGAAAAGAATGCAAAAGACTTCATCCCTGTAAACTGAGTAATACCCTGCTGACTCAGGACTTGAAGAAGCAGCTCCTATAATGTGGCACTTAAATTCAATTTATTTGCAATTTAAGAGTGTGCCTTTTTCTCCATAAAAGTGATGGAGGAGTCAGTGTGTTGAAATTGGTTAGAGTTGGACTCCGACCTGGGAGACCTGGGTTCAAATCCCTGCTCAGCCATGATCCTCACTACATGACCTTAGGTTGTTGTGATGATAACTTAGGAAGGGGAGAACCTTGTGCTCCACAGAGGAAGAGGATATACATGTAATAATAAATACATAAACAGATGCAACAGAACAGTGACTGTTTCAGCATAAAAAAACAGCAACAAATAGATCAGGGGTCAGCAAACTTTTTCAGCAGGTGGCCGGTTCACTGTCCCTCATACCTTGTGGGGGGCCGGACTATATATTTTTTTAAAAAATGAACAAATTCCTATGCCCCACAAATAACCCAGAGATGCATTTTAAATAAAAGGACACATTCTACTCATGTAAAAACATGCTGATTCCCGAACCGTCTGCAGGCTGGATTGAGAAGGCGACTGGACCGGATCCGGCCCCTGGGCCTTAGCTTGCCTACCCATAAAATAGATGGGCAATCAGGACTCTCACAACTGAAATCCAGATTTGTGAGTGACAGCACCAGTGACACCTCTTATGCAGATGGACATCTTCATGCTGATCACTGCTAGTTCAAATAGATTAGCAGGCTCAGGGCTGATAGTTCATTTACCATACTGCAAAACTCAGTGCCAGTGCTTGGTACTTCTGTGAGGCTCATGTCCCCCAACTTCCTTGTTTAGTGACTGTTGTGGGAGGAAGCAGAAACCTTTCTAATGCTCTGATGGAAATGTGATAAAAACAAAAGAATAGCCTACTGGATCAGGCTCCCAGTAGCCCCAGCGAGCCAAGAGTTGTAGTTCAAAATACTAGGTTGGGTTACCATAAAATAACCCCATTATAATTTCAATTTCTTTTTATATACTTGTCCATAAAGTTCTAATTTTAAGGAAGACCAAAAAAATATAGCCCATGTTTGTATTTGTTTTCTTCAGCAAATACAATTCTTCAGCATGCTGCGGCGTAAATACAATTAAGCCTTACAGGCACTGAGTGCCAATGGAAAATGAACTTATAAAAGCTTTCATTTAAATTTGTGTTGATTATTCATTGGAAAATATTTGGCCATATCCAATTCCAGATGGCTGTTCGGATCTGATGTCCTAGATCTCTTTCCCAATTATTCTGCTAAGTATTAATTGATGCATCTGCATTGAGAAGGGTTCTAAATGCAGGGTGCTCAACTGATTTTTATAATTGTGCATCATTTTATTTTCGAAACTGGTCTGTTTTGCTTGAAGCACTGATGATAAATGTTGTTCTGAACAGACAATTGCTGGGTACTACCTGAAAGGAAGAGGAGGAGAGTTCAAAAAGGAGCTTCACAAAGCGCAATGTTCCTTGGGCATGCTCATCAGTAATGTAAGCAAATACAATCTCGTGGGTCCCCAACAGTGGAATCAGAGTCAGCGTAGATTTGGCCAATCTAGAGAATAGAAAGCATAGGAAACTTTAGCAAAAGGGCAGTATCAGAACAGAAAACAAAGTCTTTGGAAGACCCTTATGAACTGGTCCCAGCTGAAACATTTACTTGTTTGGGTTATCTGAAGCAAATCACACCTTTAATATTCTAATGCTCAAATAATAAATAGATGCAGCTTATATTGACTAATGCATATGTTTGTATACTTTTACTTTCCCGGTGTCCTTTTCAGTTTCATGTGTACCATTTATAACCTTCTTTCAAATCCCCTATGTTCCTCTCTCAAGCACCATTATATTTCTTGTTCACAAACTTGGGCATTCTTGAGTGTCACTTTCCCCCCATTTGTAAATGGTGAGTACTTGCTCACCTGGATTGAACTGTTCCTATTAATTAATTATTGGTACAATAACAGAATATTAAAAATGTAGAGGTAGTAGCATAAAAACAATAAATGATGAAGCATAGGGAGCAATACATTGCACCCCAGACTATACCATCTGTACTAGGCTCCAGAATTGCCTCCCCTCTGTGGGATCACCATGTGCTGCATGGCTTTTGGAGATCAAATGCACTCTAGCTACTAAAAAATATTCTCACAGAGGCCATCAAGTTCTTGGCAATCATTAGGCAAAAGTCCTGCTGAAGGATTTGTATTAGTATTCTATAGTGTGACATCTTCAAAGCACCATCAACACATTCGTTGATAACTAACTTTGAGAAAATGAAGAGAACTACTGTGATGCAGTAAGAATATATATTTGCTGGACATATGCTCCAAAACCCAAGGAAATGGCTAGTAAAACCTTAGTAGTAGTAGTAGTAGTAGTAGTAGTAATAATAATAATAATAATAATAATAATAATAATAATAATTATTAGTGTCAATATATTTTACTTTACACTTCCGAGAGACCAATGATTAAAAAGAACTGAATGAAAAGGAAGCAGGAGAAACTAGAATTCTTGATTCTGATGTCGGAAAACAGGCTCTGCATAAACACAATGTTTGAACATATATGACGTGGGAAGTCAAGGACAAGCTGATACAGCAGGACAGAGATGTCACTGCAGGACCTGTGCTAGGAAAGGATTTGTAACTGCGTTACCATGACCCTGTGTGCTGCTAAGGGATGTGCAAAAGAAATAGAACTAGCTACCTGTTCAAGCATCTGACTCAATGTTTACTGTTAAGTAGGGTTGGGAAACTGCCCCTCTGCGTCAATGTCTGTATTCCCTTGAGAGGAAAGTGGTCAGGGCCAAAGCATGCACACACACACATAATGCCTTGCTCAGGTTCTTAAACACACCACATTCCTTCTGACACATACTTTCAGCTTTCGCAGCTTCTGTGCTGTGCACTGAGGAAGGGGCTCCCTTTTATCACCACACAGCATAGAAACGTAGTCATGTTTTCATCCATCAGCAGCTCAGCAGCAGGACTTGGCCGCAGTCCTTCCCTGCCATAATTTCTTGATCAGCTGGGGATTGTGGAGAGGCAAGTGGGCCAGAAGTTTCCCACCTTTGTCCTTTGTTACGGGTATCGGCTCATATTGCCAGTTTTTCTCTGCCTCATTACTCCCCAAACACTTGTCTAATCCTTTGTTTTTGGTATTGAATTGAAAAAAGCTGAAGACTTCCTCTTATTTAAAAACAAATAGAAGCTCCCCATATGCAATCAAACTGTGATAGTTCCTGCTCAGTGCCACCTACTAGCTGCAATCTGAAATGATGTCATTTAATCCGTTCCTGCAAGCACTTTCTCCTAAGATAAGCACTGAATTGCTGCCAAGATGACTCACCTGCATTTTATGTCAGTTTTGCGCAACAGGTTGGCTTGCAGCTTAGAAATGATAATGCAAATAACCCTGATAAAGATCAGGAAATTTACCTGGATAAAACAAAAAGTAAAGGATTACACGGTGCATCTTTTAAAGCAAACTTCTATTAATTCTAAGACTCTACAGAAGTATCATCTGCCAGGTAGTTCAGCCCTTTCCAGAGTGCCTCACACTCTGAAAATGCATAAACCACTGACAGACAATTATTTTTAAATGCAAATTCCAAGTGTAAATTCATGGGCTAAAGTTTTTTGGAAACTAGAAAGATTATTGTTGAGATATACAGACTGCCCTGCTGATTTTCTTTGCCAGGTTCCATCCATCTCTCTATACTTGAAAACATGGTCCTCTGCAAGAAGTCACCTAACCTGCAATCTGCAGGAGCCAAGTATCTGGCCTATGCTGCTCAAACTTGAAGAGTAATACATAAAATGAATATTTGTTCACTAAGTTCAAGAAAGAAGGCTGTGCCCACATGATTTGCGTCCTGGAGTAGCTAGTGATCCACAACTGGAGTTCATCTTGTAAACAAAGTAGACCTTACAAATAATGGTTTCATCTGTCCAGTCTCTCTCCCCAGATGTATAAAATTTATATCAGATGAATTTGTAAATGTATTTGTAGCTCACTGCTACAAATTACAGTTTTGTTGGTGTCTTGTGGGGCGTACACAGTTTTTCAGGTATGTTGTTGATGGAACCAATATTTTTTAAGGAAATCATCAGGATAATCCATGTACCTCGACAGTAATTATTCTAGAGTCAAGATGTAGATGTGGTGTTGGTTAATTTATTGTTGCTTTTAATGATCCTCTGTTTATGATTGCCTTTCACTGTTTTAATTAATGTGCTTGTAAACCGCCCTGAGAGTTCTGCAATAGGGTGGTATGCAGATGTAATAAATAGGTTAATTTACACTTGGCAATGTACATTGAAAGGTTTCTTTTAGACCAGTGGTTCCCAACACAGGGGCAATTTGATTTTTAAGGGGGAAATTCAAGAATGAGTTATTAACAGTTAATGGTCTTTTAGGCTTCCTCCATGTGAATAGGTGTTCACTTTTTGAATAATAAGAATTATATGTCATGGGGAGGGGGATCAGGATTTTAGAGATGCTTAGGTGGCGTATGGCCAAAAAAAGGTTAGGAACCACTGTTTTAGACTGTATAGGTAAGCAGCACTAATTATGTATTTGTTGTCAATGCTACTTCAGAGTGGGAAGCATACTTCTTCTGGGGAGTGCAAATTACTGTATGTCTGGTCTGCTTGCAGACCAGTATGGAAACTGTGAAGAAGGTGCCATTTTAAGCTACAAGTGACTTGTTTATGTGATGGACACCAAGGTCAAGAATAAGTAAAGTGTCCCCACAAACTCATCCTCTACAAACATGATAGTTAAAAACCAAGGGCATTACCTACCACATTCTCTACTTGAGTACAAAATACATTTGTTAGTGGAGGTGCACACCAGTCCAATGATATTTCCATCTCTTTCTTTTGTCTCTGGAACACACTAAATTTTCTGCAAAGATTCCTGATCACTCACCCCTATAGCAACAAGGATGGGCACCCTGATGATCAGCCAGTAGTTCATGTTAAGATTCTTGTTCCAGCAGCTAGAGAAGTAGAACAGGACAGGCAGGGGCAAACTTTAGTACATACATGCAATAATTTCCTCATCATCACACGTCTCGGCAGCGTAGATGGAAAACAACAGCAAGTGCTAGCAAACCAGCACGGTACATTGCACAGATGGATGTAACTGCTTGCTTGCCGAAGAGAAAGCTTTAGGCTAATCTGCAGTGATCACTGCTAAACTGGGTGCTCTTAAGCCTCTCTTTCTGCTTTTGTATGACAAACTTCTCCACCACAATTTGTCATGATCAGTAAATGATTATGGAGAATTATTTTATTAGAAGTCAGAATACAAGTCACTGTGAATTTTGTTAGTCAATCTCCTCCCACATACTAGAAAGTCTGAGCTTGAAGCTAGCAATGTTTTAACTCCCATTATAAAATCCTTGTACCAACTCTTCTTTCTTCACAATGTGTCATTTTGGTCAGAATTCTAGGTTTGCCACAATTTCCCTGCTCTCAGTTATCGGTTCAAACACCTAGCTTGTTTGGACTTTCAGTGATTACCTTCTCCATCCCATCTGAATTATTTTATGAAGATGACAGAAAGGAAACAAGCCTATGGCATCCACAGTAGTTTATTGGTGTAGGCTTCCTCCTCAAAAATAGTCTATTTTTGTTTAGAAATTCTCTGCAGTTAAGAAAAGCCAAGCATGTTCTCCCAGTATCAGGCAGAGTGCCTGCTCTTGTTTGAGAAGAATACTTGATAAATTGATCATTTTGTAACTAAGGCATTCAGCAGTACTGAAGACTAGAAATATATGCATTCTCATGATGTGTGTATCTGTGTGTGTGCCCACAGAGGTGTCTTGTATGTAGCAGGGACCCATGGTATTGTAGTGTGCATCCCTCCCCACCCCCTGCAGAATTCCTGGCAGTGAGGTCAGGCCACCCAGTGTTAGGGTGGAGTGAGATGATTTACCCTTTACTGCAATGGTGTCCCTGAATGCAATTATTTCCTTTTCCTTGTAAGTTGTGATCCACCTTATATGGAATGGAGTAAAGATATGAACTGCTCCTCAGTCAATGTCAGCAAGGCCTGCCTAGCCCCATCCTGTATGGTTTCTTGTTCCCACAAGAGTGTGACAGAACGTTGGCTAGATGGAGAGGTACCAGGGCTCATGAAAACTGACTGATAAAAGGTTAAACCAGTTGTCAGACGTATGGGTTATGCATCGTGAATTATCAACTTCACCATGGGCATTACAGACAAACATATATGCACCATGCTGCAACAAATGCACAGGCTATGACGTGGGGATGGGATATTATAGCTCCATTGGGGCATCATTTATGTTACACACTGCAGCATATAGAAAGCCTGCTAACATGCATTCAAACACATGAGCTAACAAGTAAACACTCTCAAAGCATGGAAAAAGGTGGAGTGGTAGTTTTAGTTCCAGAATGGTCCCCTCAGTTTCAGGTGGTTTTACCGTTTTCCAGTGGACTTTGCATCGCAAATTTATTTTTAAATATCAGTTTTTTCCTAGAAAATTTCAATGACGTTTTAGCCACTGGCCACATTCACATGTATAGATAGACCATGGATTACCATGAACCAGTTGAGGGCTAGTGCACACTGCAGAACTGCTCTACTTTTGCTCTTTCCTATGCTGAGCTGAGAGCAACAAAATATGATGTTAATCCAAGCTTTTTTCTTGGCTTACCATTCAGGGTTTGTTTGGGAGAAATGAACCACAACTGCTACTTTAGACAACATGGTAAACCAACCACTCAAGAAGAGCAGCATCAAAACAGGAGCAATTTATTCACATGCATTAGCGTGGTCCTAGTTCACACCAAGCCATGGTTTATGGGTTTCTGTAATGTGTGAACATGGCTACTAAAGCATAGGGAAAGTGTGTTTATGACATTATTACCAGTAGTTCTCTGAGGAAGGACTTGGTCGCAAGAAAGTCACTTCAGGGATACATGTGACCAAGGAACAGTTTTATGGCATATTATTTGGTCCGACTTAAGAATTATTGCTGGATAATAAGTGTGCTGGGGAAAAGGTTTGCTTTCCTCTGAATAGCGCTAGAACAAATTTAAATGTTTTCTGGTATAATGATATAGGTTGAGTAATGGTGCTGTGCATTAAATTCTGCTAGACTTCCTTATGCATTAATTGGCTTCTTACAGCACACCACAGCTTTAACTGCTTTTAAATGTATACCAATGTGCAATCAAAACATCATTACAGTAAAATTAAAATGCCAGAAAAACAAAAAGTGGTAGGAAAATGTAAGTAACTTATCTGCACACACTGCCTAGTTCCTTTGTACTTTCCCAAGCCTATGTTATTAAATCCCAAAGCTTAATGCAATCATCAGCATCCATTATAAATGCTTCAGTAAGATCTAAATCTAAGTTGAGGAGTCAAAGACAGCAGAGCACAGTTACCACTTCTCAGAGTAGTATTTAGAATTTCACTAGATCACATTCACACTGAGAAAGACTCGTATGTTCAAGGATGCCAACTCTGTTGTTGTTGTTAGCAGCTGCCCATCTGACTGGGTTGCCCCAGCCACTCTGGGCAACTTCCAACAAAATATCGAAACACAGAAAACCTCAAACATTAAAAACCTCCCTGTACAGGGCTGCCTTCAGATGTCTTCTTTTTTATATCTTTGTCAGAGAGGCCAGATTCTCATTGAGGTGGTAAGCTTTTGTCTGGCCTGTACCACTTCCCTGCGGGTAACAACTAAATCTTACTCCATTCAGAAAATTGCCTCTTCATGGAAAACATCAGGGAAAGGGATTCTTAGCCTAGTTATGTTTTCTATGTACAGAGAATTTTCTACATAGAGGAACATTCAGTTATGCAAAATTTCCACTTGCAGCCTGAAAGGAGACCCTGCAGACACAGGTTTACCATATAAGTGGAGTCTTTATTGAAGATCAAATTACAGTGGTACCTCGCAAGACGAATGCCTCGCAAGACAAAAAACTCGCTAGACAAAAGGTTTTTTTGTTTTTTGAGCTGCTTCGCAAGACGATTTTCCCTATGGGCTTGCTTCGCAAGACGGAAACGTCTTGCAAGTTTGTTTCCTTTTTCTTAACACCGTTAATACAGTTGCGACTTGACTTCAAGGAGCAACTCATAGAACGCGGTGTGGTAGCCTTTTTTGAGGTTTTTAAAGACTTTGGTGATTTTTCAAGCTTTTCCAAAACTTTCCCGACACCGTGCTTCGCAAGACAAAAAAAATCGCAAGGCGACAAAACTCGTGTAACGAATTAATTTCGTCTTGCGAGGCACCACTGTACATTTCTGTACATGCCATGGGGTATACCTTAAGTGATGTCGAGACATCACCTTACCAACAAAGGTCCGTATAGTTAAAGCCATGGTTTTCCCAGTAGTGATGTATGGAAGTGAGAGCTGGACCATAAAGAAGGCTGATCGCCGAAGAATTGATGCTTTTGAATTATGGTGCTGGAGGAGACTCTTGAGAGTCCCATGGACTGCAAGAAGATCAAACGCATCCATTCTTAAGGAAATCAGACCTGAGTGCTCACTGGAAGGACAGATCGTGAAGTTGAGGCTCCAATACTTTGGCCACCTCATGAGAAGAGAAGTCTCCCTGGAAAAGACCCTGATGTTGGGAAAGATGGAGGGCACAAGGAGAAGGGGACGACAGAGGATGAGATGGTTGGATAGTGTTCTCGAAGCTACAAACATGAGCCTGACCAAACTGCGGGAGGCGGTGGAAGACAGGAGTGCCTGGCGTGCTCTGGTCCATGGGGTCACGAAGAGTCGGACACGACTAAACGACTAAACAACAACAACAATACCTTAAGTGTGTGTGTGTGCTGGGAAATATTTGGGATCAAATACACTCATTCATCTTTTCTAATCCTCAAGTGCTGCAAATCCACAGCAGATCAGAGTGAAAATAAGAGGCTGAACAAGAGCAGCTAAGTCTGCACTTCCTAAATTCCTAAATTCCACACTGGACTCTGCCATCATTCTGAGGACTGCTCACTGTTCAGCACAAGCAGTGCAAACATTCCTGGGCCAGATGGTCCTTAGCAAGCAGAATTTCAAATATATTTTATAACTGCACGCATGACTAAACAAGGGCATAAGAATGAAATTGCTACACCAGAATTTGGTGGTTTATGATGTTACACCAGTACTGCAGAAAGCTAAGACAGTATGCACATTCTGAATTGGGTATCCTACATATGGCCCCAACCACTACATAGAAATGTAGTCTCCCTTTTTTGTTTTTTTAAAATTTGGGCTATTCTATCCCAAAATAGATCATCATAATGGTTCAATGTGATCAGTCTTTACCACAGTACCTAAGCAGCAGCCAAAGGGCACCATACAACAGAAATACATTTTGCAAGACTGACTAACAACTGAGGCAAGTGAACAGCCAACATATTACCACAAGGAGGCAAAAAACAAACACACAAACAAAAGACACTGATCACCTGCCAAAGTAATAAGTGAGCAGAACTGGGAAAGGAGAGGATTCCTTTCCAATTTTATTTACATTTGGCCTTGCTTGGTAAACAAGACTCATCCACTGAATTGCAACTAAATAAAAATTCCACCCTTTCTAACAACCTGTTTTATAAAAGCTAACTTGTACCATTTATGTAAAAGAGCTGCCCACTTATGATGGGGTTCTCTGTCTTTACTGTTTAAAATTATTGATTTTCAGTACCGTACAGACTTAGAACTGTCAGTTGCTTTGAACCACTGTGGTCTGGACATTATTCATTTCTTAATATCCCTCCTAAGCAAGGAGTTATTCCAGACACAAATGCAATTTACAATCTGCTGCACATCTACTGTAGCATCACAGAGACAAAGGGTAAGTGTTGAGCCTAAGGCACAGAAACCTTGCACTTTATAGAGAAGAAAAGGCACAAGGTTAGTTATTACACCATTTTAGAAATATTTATACAAGTTTTAGTTTACCCAAATTGCCCATTAGGGCCTGCTGAATGCATCAGACAGTGGGTTTTGTTTAATAGAAATCATAAGCCAGCTTTGAGTAATACAAAAGGCAAGCAATTCAACATGAACATTTCCTGACACATTTTTACATTGCCAAAAAAACTACTGAGTTTGCAGCATGCTTAGAAGCAGGGATTGGAAGATGTCTGGTTTTTTAAGGTACTGTATACTGATCATCAGAACAAAAATGGTCCTAGACAAGGTCTTGCTTAGTTTGATCTGGCTTTAGACAAGAACTTCAGAAAATGCTAGGAATATTTTTGATGGGCAATTTGACGCACACAAAACTGTTACATGACGTATGAGCCAGGTGTACAATTCACATCCATAAGAACTCTCTCAGAGTAATTAACATCTTGTCTGGTGTGCTTTAAAAGTGGGAGAGTAGGCTGAGAAGAAGGGTACATTCTGTGTTAGTTGAACACACCCTCCCTCAGATGGCATGGCACCCAGCGCAGCTGGTAGCGTGACTGTCACACAAACATCCAGTCTATTTATACATTCATTTTTCTGAAATTAATGCGTTCAGAGTGGGTTCAAAACAGATACGTTAACAGGTTCATTACAAAAATGAATTATGTAATCAAAACAATTTTAATAGTCAGTACAATTTCCAATGCCTAATAATTCATTATACGTACACTCCACAATGACAGCACATTGTTTTAGGGGGGGGCACTTAGTGCAACACTAGAGCTGGTTCTTAAGAGTCATTTCACACTTTTGCATGCACAGGAGCTTGCAGTACCAAACACCGTGGAGATATAATTCTTCAAATACTTAGGACTGCATGCTGGAAATCAGGACTGGTCCTTAGCATGTGCATTGCCCACTATGCTCATATACTTTACGCCAACTCTTTAAGGTTAATGTGCCTGTGCCAAACTCTGAACTGTCTATACATAACTTTTACCCAGGGCATGAACTTGTGCTCTTGTAGCTAAAGAAAAAATAATAACCAGCATAAGACATACATAGCTGCTTCCAGTTGTCATGCCTCACCCACCCTGTGCTCAAAACTCTATGGGGACTATTGACCTTTGAGTCTAGGAATAAGAGTTGGAGGAGTTGCTAGTTATTACTGCCATTAGTTTAGGGGCTACACTACATTAATTGTCCTGTTGGTAAGGTTTATAAAAGGTAAAGGACCTTTGACAGTTAAGTCCAGTCATGAACGACTCTGGGGTTGCGGCGCTCATCTTGCTTTACTGGCCGAGGGAGGCAACGCTTGTCCACAGACAGTTTTTCCGGGTCATGTGGCCAGCATGATTAAGCCGCTTCTGGCGAACCAGAGCAGCGCACGGAAACGCCGTTTACCTTCCCGCCGGAGTGGTACCTATTTATCTACTTGCACTTTTTGGCGTGCTTTCAAACTGCTAGGTTGGTAGGAGCAGGGACCAAGCAATGGGAGCTCACCCCATCGTGGGGATTCAAACCATTGACCTTCTGATCAGCAAGCCCTAGGCTCAGTGGTTTAGACCACAGTGCCACCAGCCTCCTTTTGGTTTATGCCCACTTAATTTTCTTTGATATGTCTTTAAAGAATTGCTGTTATTATTGTATTTAAGCTATGTATTATTATTATATTTAGACTGGGTTTTTTTAAGCACAGCTCTGCAGAAAATGTGGTATGTAAATGGACTGCGAATAAGCGGCAGGCAACCATGAAAGGGTATTGTGGCAAGGGATTATGGGAGGAAGTAGCCTGGATCAGCACGCTACCAACCATTCCATGACTGGGGCTGCTCCTTGTGCCAGTACAACATTTTGTATCCAAGTCATGAGCATTAAAGCCACTTCCGACCTCGGGAGGTGGTGGTGTTGTGGGCTTCACGCCCCCAAAACGTGCACGGGGGCTGGGTCTCATGGCCAATTTTAGCCCATTAACCTAAATTAAATAAATAAAATAAAATAAAATAAATCTAAAATAAATGAATAAATAAAATAAAGACAGTGTCATGCGTCTTTGTTCCTACTGTGGGGAAGCGGGAACTCGCCATGCAATACACGGCTCCATTTAACAAACTACCCCGGAAGGCAATGTCCCTGCCCTATGACTACGTAGATTAGATGCAAGGGTTGTAAGCAGCTCAGCAGCATGTCAGGTGTATATGTATGTGAGAACTGGGGGGTGCAGTATATGTATTAAGATGCATAGCATAAAGAACCATTACTTCCCCCCACATTTATGATCCCCGAGCACAAGAGAGAAAGAAAGGGAACTGAGGAGGAAGAAGAAATAAAGATGGAAGGACATATAGCACAAAAGGGGAGCACTCGGTAGCTAATTCACACACCCACTGAGTAAATTCTCCTAAAACAGAACTGGGAGCCCAAAATATTGGAAAATCACCACCTATTACAGAAGACAGGAAGTGGTACATTTTTTAAAATGTTGTTTTCATATGTTCAGGCTTTTCCTTGGCACTCTAGAAGAACGTGTCGGGAAGTGGGCATCATGGTGGCAAGCTCTGCCCCCACCCACATCACTTCTAGGTAGGCATGTTGCGGATGTGCAAACGACCACAACCACTTTTATGTTGGTTGGCACAGCCTTCCACTCTTAACGTTCACAGAGTGCGGCTTTGACATTTGAAAGAGGCTTACAAGTAGTAATACCTGCTGCATTTGTTGTTCTAGCATGATTCGTGGACTGCTGGTGCTGAATGAGAATACCACCTCACTATCACAGACAGTGTGATTGCCACTGTGGCAGGAACAATCAGGCCAGGCTGCCCTACTGCAATCCCTGTTGCCCAGCTGCATGTGTTTGATGAAGAGGTTTATTAAGGCATGCATAACCTGATGAGGAACTAAATTATGCTAAATTATGTTTTTCGAAGCTATTTTATTTTTGCTCAAATTTAAACAGTAAAAGGTAAAAGAACAAGAAGTACATGGTAATGTCTTTTTATTTCTTTTGTGTGATATAGTTTGATGTAACAAGAGGCCACCCACACAGAAAATAGGGGTGTGTATTTATAAACAAATCTGAATAACTCAAGTAAAGGCAAATAGGAAATCAGACACATATTGAGAATAACATATTTTCATCAGAGGAATGTTGTTTAGAGACACAACACACACAGTTGGAAATTTTTGCCAGCCTCTGGAAGCAGAATATATTATTGGCAGCATCACTGAATGTAAGATAGTAAGTAGAGTCTTGCTGGATCAGATGAATAGAACTATCTAGCCCAGTTTCCCATTTCCCACAGTGGCCAGACAGCTGCTCATGGGAAAACTGTATAGGCAGGACAGCTGGTATTCAGAAGCACGCTGCCTCTAATCTTGGAGGCAGTATAATAATAATATAATAATACATTTTTATTTATACCCCGCCCTCCCTGGCCAGAGCCGGGCTCAGGGCGGCTAACACCAGTAAAATTATAATTTTAAAAAATGGATCATTTTCAAGCACCAGAAGGAAAACACTTTTGTATATGGGCATCATAACCAGCAGCCACTGGTAAAGTCAGTTAATTTGTCTTATTCTGTATTAGAGTAATCTAAGCAAGTAGGCATCACCACATCTTGTGACAAAAGGGTTTTCCTTCTGGTGCCTGAAAATGATCCATTGGAAATATAAGATCCCCAGCTCATGTAACCTTGAGTAAAAACACAACCTTTCCCCTCAACAGCCACACCATTATAGGACACACATTTCCCCATCAGATTATGCTTGTCCATAACAGCCACTACTGGAAATAGAAGTTTCAAGACATTCTGACTAGGGTGGTGAGTTATTAGGGGCAGCGAGAGGAAGGGGCCAGGATACAGAATAGAATACCTTTCCAAAGACACACATATTTAATGATGCAGAAAATGGTTGGCCAGCAAAAGCTTGTGCTTATTTATTTATTTTTGCCAAAATGTCATCAGAACTCTTCTTTTTTCTTCATGAGATACTTTTCTAGCATAAAACATGATCTGCTCTAACCAGGCTGCAACACGAGCAAATGGATAAGATGTCAGTCAATGGAACAGCCACTGCCAAAGCAATCAAGCCAAAGGAAAATGGGCACTTCTCCCCTCCCCACAGCAAACACAACCCTCAAAAGCGATCAGCTATGAATCAGAACTGAACCAACCCCACATCTTCATAAAGGTACTTGACAATTCCCCAGGGGATAACAAACAGCATTGGCACACCTGGAAAAAAAGAGGGAACAAGATATACACAGAAAATGAGAAACAAGAAAAAGGAAACAGGAAGGCGACACAAAGTTTTTTATATAACGCAGAACAACTTTAGTCAAGAAGAGGTTGCAGACAGTAAGTTGAGCCCATTATACTTAAATGAATTAAACACAAACACCCTTTCCTGAAGAAGTTTTCACATTACAAAATCCATAAGGTGGAAGTACTGAATTTAATCTGAAATTTATTCAATAGAACTATGGAATGCCAATGCTAATATTAATACATCGTGGCAGTTTCATTAGATAGCCTAAAGCCCAGATAAATGGCACAGATTGCTAGAAGCTATCTTCACTTCTGGAGTCATTTTTTTTAGAAAATAAATTAAAACAAGAACAGTAGTAGATTGGACAAGATGATGAGGGCCAGTGAGACCAGTGAAGTGCCATCCTTGAAGTTGTTCAACAGACACCCAACATCTGTTTACCAAGACAGATGAGTAAGAACAGTCCAGCTGCAATATTGAAGATACTCATTGGGTGTCCCACCACAGATCATTTCCAAACCCAGGTGTTTCCTTTAATCTAATGAAACCTATTTAATTACTTCGAATGTTTAATTTCTTGCAAAGCGAAGAAGGTAAATTGTATTAATAAAAGCCTCAAACCACAACACTGGTTAGATGAGATATGAATGCTCAAAGAAAACAGGCTTTATTTCTTTAGAGCAAACAAATAGCTGAGCGGAGCAATAGCCCCTGTGATTTGCAGAGGGCCTGGATGCCTCAGAAAGACCGTCATATTTTATTGGGTTACCTGGTTTTTGAAACGAGCGATGTATTTTAATACATACAAACCAGACAAAAACAGTTGCTGCTGCTAAATTTGAACGATTCTGTTCTTGTCAGTAGTTTAAAACACAACCCTGAGACCTGAAAGCAATTTGCATACCTATGAGCTGACAGCCTGTGCTTTGCACTGATATACTGTACACAAAGTTACCAACATCTAATTAGAAGTTATAAATCTGGTCAGGTGTATGCATGCATGTTTTACTGCCAGTACTGGGAAATAAATCCCTTGGGTATATAAAGGTGGAAAGGATGAGACAAGGTGGTCAGGTTGCGCACTGCAGGTCAGATACAGGGATGTGCTTGCTGACTGGGTGGCTATTTGCTACCAAACTGCCATGTTTGCCATAGCCAGAACTCAGGTCCCTAGCAGTTTTGAAGCGGAGCACTGAAAAACAAAACAGTGATTTCTATATACTCAGGAGACTCCCTAGGTGCATCCAAGTATATCCACCTGCAAGTTAAAAGCCAGAAGTACAATTGTACCTACCTGAATCATAGTTTTCCATTCCCAATGAAAGAATAGCAGAGAAAAATGAGTGTTTTGAATTCTACACACCTCTGTCCAAATAGCTATAAAATGCTCAGGTTCAGGGATGGCAGCTCTAAGCCTGAGACCTCTAGCACTACATGCAGTTGCCTCATGGTAAGCTACTATTCATCCAGCTATCCTTCGTGTGAGATGAGGCCTTTGGGGGATCAGTGTCCCGATAATGGAACCCCTTCTCCTCTCAGGTATACAGCTGGCACCAAATCTATTGAGTTTTCAGTGCCAGCTAAAGACACTCTTATTCATCTAGGCCTTTACAGAAGTCTGCTGAATTGCTTATCTCATTGATTTATGTACGTTGTTTGGGCATCCTCTTTTAATATGTATTTAGTATTGATTTTAATGTAACCTGCTCTGGCAGTGCCTTGAAAATGAAGTGCAGGTAAGAGATATTATAAATAAACAACATATAACATAAGTCCAGTATTATCTACTCTGGCTGGCAGTAGTATCACACGGAAAAATATAAAGGGGGGAAAAATAATTATAAAGATGTGCCCTCTTCCATCTTTTTTATCTAAACCCCCCCCCCACCTGCATCAGGAGCAACAAGAAGAACAGCAACAACAGAACAAGCAGCTTCCTTCTCCCGGTTAGCTAAAGACCCAAACGTGTGCTCCTCAGAAGGGTTTGTTTCACTTACAATTATGCAAAAGATATCATATGCTTCCACCGCTCTCTTATGCAAAGAAAACTTAAACCTGTAAAATTATTCCTGGAACTTTTCACAGCTTAGAAATGGGATAAGTGAAATACTATCCCCGCAAAGAGATGGCAGCTGCATATTCCCAATGCAACTAGAATCTTCTTCAGGACTAAGTTTTTCATAGTATTAAAATGTGGCGCAGGCTCCCAAACAGGAGAACAGGTATGTTTTGTTTTCCCAAACTCCTGCTTCACAATCCAAAATCAACTGCCTCAGGCCGTTTAATCCTTCTAAAACTAATTATACGCAATATGTTCTCAGTGCAATTTGTATTGGCACTTGTGATTTATAGCAAAGTCAAAAAAGTTGTTACCGCTCATGTAATTTGATTTTAAAACTCCCTAAGGCTTCCCCGAAAATAGATTTTGCAGTCAGATTGTCTTGTCTTAGTCTTCGGTTACTGCCTGCTTCAGCCTAGATTGAGCCCTCTGACTGACCTTTGGAAGTTAATGCATATTGAAACTACCACTACTTAATCAGCCATTAAGCAGATTCCGGCATCTCCTGCTACTGCCACCTAGATTCAACAGGAGAAGGTAGTTTTTACATCTTAAATGGGATGGCGTGCACAAGACAGCTCTACAGCAATACCTTCACTATGTCTATTTAGAGTCTGAGAGTAGCTGCTACCAGCCTGAAATACAGCACTCCAAAGGATAGTTTGCAATGAATTCTGCTGTTAAAGCAGCTGCTAATTTGCACAGCTGCAGTTACAGCTTTAAATTAGTTCTGTTTGAACTAATTATATTATAGAAGGGCAAGAAGTCAACTTAGTGAAGAGAGATAAAAAAAAGAACTGAAATAGTCTGTTTTCTGTATCAAATTTCCAAAAGAAAGCCTTTCAGAAGCCATTCTCAGAAGAATGTCAGAGATAGGACCACTACTTTAGGAAATGAACACCTGCTTGCTTTGTGTGCACTGAAGTTAATTTTTCTGTTTTAATTAGATAAACTTTATCACAGATCTCTGACAAGGTACCATAGCCTGCAGCTGCAGAATTCCTTGTTATAACATAATCTGATTAAACTCCTACTGAATTCAAGTGATTGTTACTCCCAGGTAAGTGGAGCTAAGTATGCAACTTTGGTCTACACAAACATCTACTATATTCCAAGCTTTGCAACAGACTAATTAATGAATTCTTAATTTCAAGCCCTTTTGGTCCTTAATATTTTCCTGAAATTTGAATGCTCTGTTTTTGCACTGAGTTTCAGATGGTTGCCAGGCAACAACTACTTTCCGTGCTTTCATAAGCAAACCTATAGTCGTAAAAAGGTTAACAATACTCTGTCAAAACTGGTTGATTGTTTGCTACATTTATGGAACTGAACTCTGCCAAGTATTTTGTAGGGAGCGGAGAGCAGCATTTGCAGGATATACAGCTTCAGAATGGTGATGCTTCAGGCTTAGAGATATGTCAATAGGGAAAACATCATATTAAGTTAAGTACAGATCTATATTTCCTAGTTTCTCTTCAACTCACACCGAGGCTGCATTCAGACAGCAGTTTATTCCAGTTCCCCAACATTCCCCTAACTTAATTTCTGCATGATATCTGAGCTTTCACACAACATACAAGTCACTTCCAGAAATATAGTGGAAAACAGAACAATTTTAGTGCTCATTTCCATGTTATTTGTTTCCAGGAAAAGTTTGCAAGTAACACAGAAATGAATGCTAAGCTTGTGCTATATTCCACTATTTTTCTAGAAGTTTCTTGTAAATCAACACTGAGAGAAATGTTGGGGAAATGGAATAAACCACCCTGTGAATGCAGCCTAGCAGTGTTTTAATCAATCTGTGGAATACATATTGCTAACATCTGCCCCTATTCATATAGGAGAAAGCCAAAGGCAATGAAAACTGGAGCCACAACTGAAGAATGATTCTTTAGTAGGAAACATAGTAGATTCAAATCCTTTCCAAAACACAGTTTACTTGCTAACATCTGACATCAGATGGAAAAATAGCCGGGACTATTCTCTAGTAGCCCTTGTAAAAAGCAGCAACACATATAAGAAAACTTGGTTCCCTACTAAAGAACTGGTAACTAGTGAAGAACAGTGTAGTATGTCCTAATAAAGATGTTAATATTCTATTTGCAAGTTTCTTATAAGAAGAATAGAGTGATAACAGACTAATAGAAAGAGCCCATCTGCCATAATTCCTCTCCTATGACACAAGGCCCTCTTGGCTCCTTCCTAGTCAGATTCTATTGTGGTTCCCAACATGCTATAATAGCTCCTTGTCACTAGTAAGGGACAACAGAGAGAATAAATTTAGCTCAAAGAGGGGAAGGAAGTTTAATTTTCTCACCCTTTCATTTCATTTCCCCTTTTTGAATGGCATGTTCCTTTCTGCCTCTTTAGCTGGATGTAAAAAATGCTACAGAAGGTACTCAATTTTTTTTAAAACCTTTCCCCCACATAGTCCAAAGCTCACCAACATTTGCTCTTGTAACACCAAACAATAGTTTAGCATTGCATCTAAACTAGCTCACTTAAATTACATATATCTTATAACTAACTACCTGATGTGGTGTTAATTTTTATTTTTATAATCCTGTTAGTTAAAAAAACTGGGATCAGATTCACAGTTACAAAGAGATCTCTGATACATTATAAAAATTGTAATTAATGAAATGAATACAATGAAGTGGATGGGCAGAATTGTGCTACAGTTGATGTTTCTATTCTAGAATTTACCTACAAGTTAAAGCCAGGGAACAGTGAAAAGGTTTTGGATTTCATATGGCATGAAAAGCAACCAAGGAAAACAAAAACTATTCTTATTAGATTCTCTAAAGCAGGAGGTTTATGTTTCCCTGACACTGTAATATTCCCTTATATTATTTTGCCTGCCAAATACATTTTTTTGAACAATGAGATTCTGGAAAAGATCATATA